GAGCCCGATGCGGGACTCGATCCCAGGACCCTGGGATCATGACCTGAGCCGAAGGCAGACGCTTAACCATCTGAGCCACCCAGGCGCCCTCAAATTTATATTTTAACTTAGACAAAGTAAGACCTGTAAACTAGTAAATCCCATTCAACTGTGCTCCTCTTCAAGCCCCTAAAAATTTATACTTTTTAAAGAAAGAAAAACATCTCTTACCTCCTGGGACCTGCTCCATGAAGATTTTGATGAAACCATTCTCACTGAAAGAGCCCAGATACTGGACAATATTTTTGTGCTTCAGATGTTTATGCAATGCTATTTCTTCATGTAGGGGCTGGGAGTATCTAAAAGACATGCAAATGTTGATGAGCCAATTGTGTAGCCAAATTTTAGTGTATAAATGTAAGCAATACAAACCGAAAACATCAGCTAAATATATGTCCACATGTAAAGTAATATATGACTATCTAAAGTGCTTATTTAACATAAATTCTGTGAAGTTGAAGCAGTGGTAGGTAGGGTCTGAGGGGTAATGTGTCAGGCATTGATCTGAGCCTATTGTATATATTAACTCGTTTCTCACAACAACCCCAGGAGAAGGTACTTTTAAGATGCTCATTTTACAGATGAGGAAATTGATTCACCAAGAGGATAACTAACCTGTCCAAGATCTTAAAGCTAGTAAGTGACAGAGCTAAGATATTAGTCCAGGAAAACTGAACGCACCCACATACCTCACGGTCTATATTAACACAACTTTCTATTCCACCGGCCTTATAACATAACTCTACTATTCCGGGAGACTCTTTCCCTGGAAGATAAAAATTACAAATCACTTTCATTTTCATTCCAGAACTTACTAAAAGGCCGGGCAACTCTTCTGTAGGAAACATAAAACCATTTATATCCTAAGTCTCCTTGAGCTCCTGACTAATCCTCATTTTACTGGGTCCATCAGTTCTAATATATCATGGTTTTTTTTTTATCCCATCCTACCCATCCTCCATGCTGAAAGACCAGGATCAAACCATCTGGTTTCTTTCAAAATTACATACTTGAAGTATGTTGCTTTATCAGATTATACAGTGAAAGTGTTTTATATTTCTGGAACAGACAAAACAACCCTCTTGATGATTATTTGACGTACTATACAGCTTCTAGACTCTTAGCAACCTTGAATATTAATATTATATTATATACTTATATTAATATGAGTATTTTATAACTAACCATGGTAGGGTGTTGGAGACCCAAAGCTATTCTCTAATTTTTTTTATGTTGTACAGTGGAGGTTACAGGTGTGAAAGGCACTAACCACTAGACCACAAACTACAAACCTGATGCCTCATGATTTGTTTTGGTGTTACGTGCAAGAAATACTTAGATCTTATGATGGCAAATCCATGTAAACAGAATGCCAGTGACAAATACTAGAACTGGTTAGTATTGAATAATGCTATTTTCATGAAGCTTTTCAGGATAAGCTACAAAGCTAAAGCAATAAGGAGGTTACAAAAATCCAAATTCATTTAATTTAAACAAACTTTTATAATCTTTGAAATATTACTCAGAATGCTTCCTACAACAGCAAAAAATTAACTTGTATTTTAGATCTTTTACTCATTTTATTTTTCTTTAGAACTGCTCTAGGAACTATAAAGGTAGGTATTAACCTGAATCCCTTAACAGGATATCAGTTAGAGACAGCTCCATTTTGGTAACTGAGACAACATGAGAAATATGTATATGGTGTTACCAATAAGATACTTAGGTTATGATTCTCAGGACATTTGCAAGTTACTTCTTCTATGGTGTTTAATACACTTTATTAACATTAGTTAATAAGATTGCTCTTGATATGCATGAGATAAATTAGTAGCAAATATTGGGTCTATTCTACAGATTTAGGGCATTAAAATGACTAAATAATCCGAAGCAAATGATTAATTCAGTTTATGATGAGCCAAAGGGCTCCCACCTCCTGACCCTCTATTGCAAATCAATTATGGATGTTTAAATATAAGATCCTGGAAAAGGAAATATGCCACTCCCCTGCCCCCTCCGTTATGTAACCAGATGATAGCTTAAAAGTTACAGTAATAGTCTGGATTCAACCTAGCTAAGAATAAGAACTCTTTTCCAATATGAAATTGATTAGTAACACTCAGAAATTCTCACTAAGTGAAAGGGTAAGTGCCAAGCACTGAATAAGCATGGAATTCTAATTTGTTCAAGTCAATAAGCAATGCTTATCTATGGGAATTACAAGAAAATCTTATTTCTTCTCTATTAGCTGTGACAGTGGAAAGAAGAAATGGTATAGATAATCAGAGTTACTAATATATATTTAGCTTTGAAAAATTATTAATCCATATGTGTTTCCAGAGCACCTTCTCTGAGTCAAATTCCCACTACGTCCATCCACACCAGTGGTTCCCAGCCTTGGCTGGACATCTCATCTCTTGAAAGGATTTTTTAAAAACAATGCCTACGAAAAAAAAAAAATGCCTACGACCCACTCCAGAATTTCGGGGGGTAGGCCTGAGCATCAGTATTTTTTTTTTTTAAAGATTTTATTTATTTATTTGACAGAGAGAGAGACAGCGAGAGAGGGAACACAAGCAGGGGGAGTGGGAGAAGGAGAAGCAGGCT